AACCCACAAGCATTTACATGTTCTCTCCAGGCAGTTTTAGACCATAATGGGTTCCACTAGGATCCGAGTCCAGGATAACCTATGCAATTCCTCTGAGAGTATAGAAAATGTCAACCAAGTGAATTAAGACAGAGGGTTATGGTGGTTTTTCTAAAATAAGAGGTCCTTTGGGTTAAGAGGTCCAAGCTAAGAACTATCAGAATAGATCTACTAATTAATTTTCTAATCTTTTAGGCTTACTTAAGCTTAACAACTTCCTTTCCCTACCCAATTTCTAAATTTTTTTCACTCAATTAAAAATTTCAAAGGATTATAGCAACATGTAAGTGAGAAGCACAGTAAGATTTGTTCAAGCTGGTAGCTGATGTAGAGGTATTTGTCATATCTCTTTATATTTTTCTGTATTGTTTAAAATATCTTATAATCAAAAAATAAAGAGACATGATGCTTCGATGGTACCAGACACTGTGAACAATTGAACAACAATTAAATATAGTTACTGGTAGGGTTGACCAGCTCCAGAACTGAATTCCTAATCCCTACTATCTCCACAATTTCATCCCCGAGAAAATAAAGCAGAACTGAAACCAACAGTCACGATGGCAGCTAGTCTTTAATTTACTTTAATTCCTCTTCTTAAAAGAATGTTTAAAGCCCTGATGTTGGTTCAACACATCTCCAACTAAAGAGGTAAAACTGCAATTATATACTGTAGGAACATTTGGAAAAGCCTACCATGCCAAGTGAAAGAAAAGGAAAGACACAAGTGGCTTTGCTTCACCAAACAGGGCGATTCAAGAGGCTTGTTTGAATGCTAAATTGCTGAGAAGGAAAAACCCTGACACCTAGTGCCCAGATGAAAAAATGAAGCCTCCGAGCCACCACAGTTCTTAAGTGTGGTAGTATGTAATGCCGAGGGAACCATCAAATTGCATTCAATTTGGAATATACTTTCCTCCCAGAAAAATTTTCTGAAAAAAATTTTTATGCCACATGAGAGTTCCAATCTCTGACTACCAGTCCTTTTTTGGAAATATATACTGTACCAATTATTATAACTGCTTCTAAACACTACGTTTTCTCATCTCAGTTTTTCATTATGACAGAAGTGATAGGAGGGAATGATAAAAAGCCCATGTTCTGAAATGGTAAGGAAAACAGGGACCTAATTTCTATAAGCACTAAAATACTATCAAATCTACCACTCTATCATATCTCTATCATATCTTTCATCATTGCCTGATTTAGATTCCTGATATAGTTCACAGAGCTGCTGCACAAATATAAAATAACAAAGTGCTAATAACTTACTTCAGAATAAATAAGAATGCAAACTCAAAAAAGAATTTTCTTTATCTCACCAGGCAAAGTTAAGTTGTTCTCTGTCAAGTCCGTTACAGCCCTTGGCCTGATCTCAGCCTGAGCTTTTTAATAACAGGATTTAGTGCGAAGAGCAGCTACACTGGATTGCGAACTGTTACTCAAAATGTTCCCACCTACAATTATAGCTTCCACCAAATGATCAAAACAGGTTAGCAAACTGGCAGGAAAATGAAAACAATTCCTCCAAAATAGAGAAGCAGTAACGTAGAATTGTTGGATAGCTACATTTTTTTCTGAATCCAGGCTCAACAACACACATTCATCTATAAATAGTGCTATCACTATACATCAATAGCAGGTAGAAACAAAATCAGTTTAGTCTACATTGCAGTCACATTTTCCTCTTTAACTGTTATGAAAATTCTGGCAATTCATCTTTAGAACTCTAATTTAATAGATTTGGTTGAAGTTTTTTTTTTTTTTTTTTTTTTTTTTTTTTTTATTCCTATCCCAAATTCATACTAAATGTAATGCCATTCAAATCTGGCAATGAGAAAGATGTGTTCTCCTATGTATTTTGTCATGCATTAGGCGGCATTACTTTAGTCACATCTTACTTTATGGGGAAAGGAGTACTAGGAAAATATAAAGAAAGCTAACATGAGATCGGAAAAGCTCTCTTTCTCCTGCTTCTAACACAGGCTCCAATGTTCAAAATGCAGGTCACATCTCTGCTGAAATAGCCAATATTCTTCCTCAAATGGCAAACAAGTTACCTAAAACTAAATGGAACTGAATTGGTCCAAATCCTGGTCCCATCACCATTTCACCTATTTACTGCCCTGGAACAAAAAATAGGGAAGAAAGACAGGCCACCAACATAGCCGACAGTCTAATAAGTGCAGGTTTCTGCCTTTGGTTGTGGGGGAAAGCATTTCAATACATGGAGAAACTCTGCAAGAATCTCTTGTTTTACCCTTATTTCTTATATCCATGCACTAGCTTTTAAACTCAGAAACTCCCATCCTTCAAGGTAATACAATACCACCCACAGTGATGACCTGGTAGAGCCATCACCTTTGGAGAACACCACATTATCATGATTTAATGTCTATGTAGCATCAATGCATTTACATTGAGCCTTGGCTCTCAGAACATTAACAGGTCAATTTTTTATTCCTTTTTTAATAAAACTATTTCTCAAGGCTCTGTTCAGATGCCCTTTCTCTTTGGGACAGGACAGATTTGCTCCAAATCTCATCAGCATGAGCTCTTTTCGTTCCCCTCACATCATTCTTGGGGTAATATGTAGAGTGCCAGACTCATGACAAACTTGTCTCTTTGGCCAAAGAAAATTAAACTGCAATGGCTGAAAGTCAACGTGCCTTGATAAAACTGGGCTCAGTATGAGGAAATACATCCTATTGGCACCTCGTCATTTCTTAGGCACAGCTGTCCCTCAGAGTTCTGACTGCTGAAACTCCATCCTTAGATTGGTCAGTCTCTCAGTGGACAAGCTCCATTGTATGCTCAAGCTATTGGTAGCAGAGTCTGATACTAATACCCTAACCTCATTCCTATCGTGCAGTGCCCTATAATCTAGCTAAGGCCACTGACTTCACCAGCCATCCTGGGCATTAGTCACTAACTGCTTACAAAAGAACACCAGTCTTACTCCTCCTGAGTTCAAAGGCTCAGAAACAGCAAGCTAACACTCAGCCTCAATCCTATTCAATCATTTGAAGAAAAGGAAAAGAGAACAAAGAAAATAGGCAACTAAGGAGAGAAAGTATAAAATAAGAAGAAAGTGAGAGCCGACCAAAAAAAAAAAGCAAAACAACATTTGAACAAACAATATTAAAGCACTGGGCAAAGGAAAGCAAGTGATGGCTATACTAAATTAATACTTACAGCCATAGTACCATGTAGCTGTTTAAGGCATAGGCAGCCCTTTAACATCAAGGTTTGTTAGGTCTTAAAAGGGTTAAAAAAAAAACTTTAATTTTTTTTATTCGTGTGTGTGTGTGTGTGTGTGTGTATGTGTGGGTGTGTGTGTGTGGTCTTTGGGTACAGAGTCCCGTATAATAAGACTATTTGTATTCATACTGGCAGAGTAAACACTACATGTTCATGCCCAGGCAGCTCTGTGCTTGTAATTTCAGCAAGAACAGAGCTCTGTCCCTCTGGGACTTCACTATTCCCCCAGTCTCCATTCGCTCAAACACAGAATGAGAGCAGAGAGAAAGCAGGAGAGAAAGATCATGGCAAGAGGTTTCACATAGCACTGCAGCTAGCTTTCACGTGGCCAAAAATCTCATTTTGTGTTTTAATTACATTAGTTAAAACCGTTTTGCTTTCAGCCCCATGTTCACAAGGGTGCCTTCCATTCCTGAACAGTGATTCAGTGAATCGGAATTTACGTCTGGCACAATGAAGCTTTTCTTTGCTGCTGAAAGGCTCACTGGGCAGATGCTACACATAGTGGCACAAATCTCTGTTTCAACTTTGTGTGTTGATGAGTATATATCTATTCTTTTCAAAATTCTATGCATCCTCTCTCCCCATCCTCTTACCTTTGTTATCTGTCGAGGTACTAGATCAGTAGAACTCCTAAAAGCCTAATATTCTGCATCTGGTCCAATGCTTAACACTAAATCATCTGATCTTGGCTGTTCCTAGTATACTACTGAAAGATCAAACACTTCGTAAATAGAGGGCAAAAAATTTTTAAATATTCTGAATAAAATGGAAAAAAGGTCTGCATATTTTCTCCAGTGGTCTACCCAGTCTGTCTATGGCAGACACCCAGGTAAAGTGTACTCTTTCTAAGGAATGAAACTTATCTATGAATTATATCTAAAGCTGAAATAAAAATACCTCCATTTTTATGTTTGTTACTATTTTTATAATTGCTACAACTGTGCTTTAGAAGCATCGTTAAAACTGGAGGAATATCAACACATAGAGAAAGGCATAAAGGTATAAGGCAGAATATGACTTTACATCATTATTAAAATGTCACTATACAAGAAAGGAAGCCAAGGCTAGAAAACACATCTTAGATTAACTATCAATAAATGGGTTCTATGTTTCTTTTACGTTTAAATCCCTGGTTCTGACCAAGCCCCTTTAAGAAGAACACATTCGTTATGCTCATAACAGCACCAGACTAAATAAGCTGAGCATGGAAAAAATGCATAGTTATTATGCAAATAAGTAAAAAATAAGGCAAAACAATATTTAAATGTTTTTGTTACAAAACAAACTCAAAATACAAATATATATAAAGGGAAAGTAATCTCTTTTTATGTACCTATCACCTAATTTCAATTATCAACTCGTGACCAATCTTATTTCATCTATACTCCCACCTGCATCTCTCCTCATTTTAAATCAAATCCTGGACATCAGATCACTTCACTGGTAAATATTTTAGCATGTATGTCTAGCAGGAAGTAATACTCTTTTTAAAAAAGCAAAATTGTAATAATGTTATCATACCCAATAATTTAATAATTCCTTGACATCTATCTAGTGTTCTCTCGCTAAAAACCGTACCAGGACAACTAGGTTGCCTACACCAGTTGGATCTTAATACCATATAATGATCACTCCCATGGAAAGCTGGTACTAGTGGGCACAGATATAGAAAACGAGAGAAGGTTTCAACTACTTGCCTCATTTCCTCCTGGAAGCCTGTTCATGTGGACCAGCTGACCTTGATCATCCAACACCAGTTCAGTATACGTCAGCATGTCAGAAGGCAGAGGAGGTGATGGGAGGAATGCTTGAGTGGACATGGACTCCCAGAGTTTGATCAGGGACTGGTAGAGGAGACAAGTTTGACAATAATAACATTAACCTTTCAATATGGATAAAAATAATTATTAAGATGTCATCAATCTGGTTTCATTTTCTTTTCCAAGTGTTTTGCAGAGACTCTAAACATCAGACTAAACCTTCCAGCTCCCATTCTCAGTCAATATAGATTTATATAATTGTTTTTTACATAATACTTTTTACATGCCAAAAGTCAGGAACTTTTCAACAAATTCAAACTATTGAGCAAATCTAAATCAGTAGTAAAGCAATAATATACATAAAAGACCTGACACTACCCAGGAAAATTAAAATAAAAACTAAGTTGCATTGCTACCTTTAAAAAAAGGTGGGGGAAGAATCCTAGAGAAACCTGATAATAGAAGAATATCCATGAAAGCAGGACATGATGCTCAGCTAATACGAACAAAATCCAGGGAAGTCAGAGTAAGGTTTCCACTAGAGGTTCAGTAGAAACCTCTTTATAATATTTTTCATAGCTACAGGTCCCTACACAAGAATTAGCTCACTAAGACATGCATGGTTTTTTGTAAGTGTACAGATCAACAATGCTCAAATTTGAGAAAAAACACAATTATCCCTTTAAAAACAATTATGATTTTCATTTCCATCTTCCTATACAAATAAAACAAATCCTTTATGAAGTGAGAACTAGGTTAGTTCTTTCTTTGCTTGCCTCAAAGCAATAACTAAGGCCCAAATGACTCATATATACCTACATGTCCTAATCATTATGCTGATGTCTATCATATAGGAAAAATTACACAGAATAAGATTTCTATTTATAGCACTGATGTTGGGAAACAGAACCAACACTCAGCTTTCAGGCTAACAATGCTACAAAAGGAAAATAATGAGCGAAGGTAGCTATGTTTCAAGAGATAGGGCTTGTACACAAATGGTTGCATAAAGGTAATCTCTTGTATTTGTGAATAATACAGGAATTATAGACAAACTATTTACCAAGTCTACATATATTACTTTGTTAAAACTCAAATGTGGTGATACTGGTAGTATTGACTAGGAGACTTGGAAAAATCCTATATTCATAGAATTTTTTTTTTTTTAAAGACAAATTCAGTATTCTTTTGAAACCTTATTCTTTATCTGTTGCATTTTCTGCTGGTGATATACTTTTCTTGCCTTCTATTGATGGAAGAAAAATCTGCAGCATAGAAGTGATTCACCATACAGATCAAGGGAATTTATTTTCATATAGAGGATGAAATTCATAATGTCATATTTTCTCATGCTAGTTTTTATTCAGCTATAATAAATCTCCCACAAAAGAACTTATAAACTGTGTACCATGAACTCTATATCCACTTGTCTATGCTATCTATATTGATTCTCATCATATTAGCTTAGGCTATCAACTAGGGACCTGAGTTATCCTGGAAAATGGGAAAATGAGAACTAGAGTTCCATACCTCTTTTTTAATATCCCTAATTTGAACACAGACTTAGGAAATACATATGTAACTTCTCACACAGGTCACTGTAAACTATCATCACAGTCCTGTGGTCTTGGTTCACTCTCTTCTATCCAAGAGAGACTTCTATTCACATCATTCTTCCTGTTAATTCATAAAGAATCATCCAAAATCTGAGTTGGCAGTCACTGAATTTCAAATGAGATAGAAATGAGAAGTGTCAAGATATTTCCTGCTCTTTGAGAGTGTTCTTTTCCAGTCAAAGTTGCATCTGATGGAAATTCAGGAAAACCTTGCCTTTTGGAACATGTCATAACCCCACCCCTTTAGCCACCATTACCTGCCGAAACATCTCTGGAATATCATAAATATATGTTGTTCCTAAGGACTGAGCCTGAAACCTCTTTGACTGAAGCAGGTCTTTGGTCACATATGGAGTATTGATTAACATTCCATGCAGTGGTCCCTGTTTGTCTCCATATGCCTGAAACATGATCTGCAAGAAAAAACAGAATGGCATTGCAGGTTAAAAGACAGAGGGAAAAGAAAAAAAGGAATCAAATAGCTGCCTAGAGGGTTTTTTCCCCACAAATATTATTTCTTGAAAAACATTTTTGGTGAGACATGTCTCTTAACATTGGTACTTGGTATTCCCACTTCTCTACAGGTTAACTAACTCCAAAAAAGTTAATATATAATAGGCTACTACTCTTGTTTTTGGATTATTTGAAATCAATAAGAAAACACAGCATAAATTTCACATCTCAGAGACAGACTGATGAAGCTTGCTTTCTGAAGTGATTTGAATCCCATATGCTCAGAAATGAAGTAATTAGTAAGTAGTCTGAGCAATTCTAGTATTTAAGTTGAAAAGCAGCTATGCACTGAAGATAATTCTTATTATTAAGCCAGATCAAGGTTCTACCAATTCATTGTACTTTAGTCCATTTGATTAGAAGGTGCTTCAGAAGTACTATTGGCCACACAAAAGCTTCAAAGATTTCTGCCAGAAGTGGATTTCACCCATCTAGATAGTTAATTCTTATTAGCCCATATAATAAAATAACTATTTTAAACCATATATATATATATATATATATATATATATATATATATAATATTTCTCCCCAGTATACTGTCTATAACTAGTAACTTTTACAATACCTGTATTGTCACATAATGAAACCACCACAGCAGTTTTTAATCATTTTAACTCAAATATTTCTAGAAGAGTACTCCATACTCTATATTTAGCTAGTTTTATTTGCTTATGAATATTTATAAGGGATGTCATTATTTCAATTCAATTAATATTTATTGAGTGCTCATAGACTGTATAACACTGAACTAGGCACTTTATGTATGAATTTGTACATAATACAGATTCCCAATCCAATGAATACCAATGGAGACTGAGATGAAAGGGTATGTATACACCCACATATGCATCGGGGCCTTAAGGAAGAGCACAAGCCTACTAATGAATAGATTTGTGGACCTGATATACAAGCATAGGAATGGAATTAAGTACTTTCTAAAACCCTAGGGATAATGATTCTAGAGGAACAGGAATGTTCTGCTGACTTGTCCATTAGGTCCTGTTTTGGGCAAAACTTGTCTCAGGGTGCTTAAAGGCTCTCAGACAAGCTCCCAGTCCTTTTCCACAAATTGATGGGAAAAGTCACCATGTGAGAAAAAGAATTAATAATGTCTTAGGAATTTAAGAGTAGAAATAGTAAAATTTTAAGAGATTCAAACTTAAGTAAGGCAAGAATACAGTATGAGACTAGATTCAGAGGCAGTCAGTCAAATCAAAATAAGAAAAAGGAATTTTTGTAACTAAATTTCTTGTCTATTAAGAGAGACCTTAGGATTTGAGACTCAGCTTTTTCCATGTTCTGGGATAAAGTTAGATTGGCCATAGGTAAGCAACAGAACTTTGCACTGAGGAAGGGAGCTAGAGAAAGCTACTGCTACAAATTTAAAATGGTAAAACCACTTTGGCAGTTTGTCAGTTTCTTATACTGTTAAGTATAAACTTACTATGAATAGCAATTATACTCATATATTTACCTAAGAGAAAGTTACACAAAAATTTATAAATTAATGTTCATAGCAGCTTTATTGCTAGAAGTCCATTTCATCCTTTTATAATTGGGAAATAAAACTTCATATGTGCTTCCACAGTGGAGAATAGATAAAAAAAAATTCTTTGTAGATCCACAAAATGGAATACTACTCAGCAATGAAAAGGAACATGCATATAATCCAGGTAACACCAATGAATCTCAAAAACATTATGCTGAGCACAAGAATCCAGACACAAAATAGCACATTTTGTCTGATTTCATTTATATGAAATTCTAAGACAGGCAAAACGAATCTATAATAATGGAAAGCAGATCATTGGTTACCTAAGGCTGCAGTTGATACTCTACCTTTGACTGCAAAGGATAATTAGAGAACTCTGTGAGATAAGGAAATGGTCTCTATAATGACTGTGATGGCATCACGCAAGTGTATACAACTATTGGAATGAACTGAATTGTACATAAAAAATGAGTCTGTCACATTATATGTAAATTATACCTCAATAAGGTGGTTTCAAAATGTTATTTCTTCTCTTATACAACACATTAGGAATCAACTCACTTATGCAATGGATTACCCAAATCTCTTTTCCCTATTATGACTACATGGCATCATTATTCATTACAACCTGTACCACAAAGACTATACAAGAGAAGTGAAACAAAATGAAACTCAAGTCAGTCAACCTTACTTCTTAATGGAAAAATGAGTAAATGATGTGCTAGGGCCAGAGGATGATCATAATGGACAATAATGGAAGACTCTGAATGACCAGCTACTTATGCTAGTTTCATTTTTTACTATAATGAACCCGGTAATTAAAACTTGGTAAAGAGTATGTTTTACAAGTTCACAAAAATATGTATACATTTTACATAAAATACATCTTTCACCAGAGGGCATCAATGGGCTTCTCTTAGCTGGGTGTGGTAGTGAATGCCTGTAAACCCAGCAACTTGGGAGGTGAAGCAGAATGAACACAGTTTTAAGTAAAACCCTGTTGTAAAATAAAATTAACCAGAAAAGGGCTGGGCACAGGGCGGGGTGTTGGGTGGAGGCATGGCCTGGGGATGTACCTCAGCCTTTGATTTCGATCCCCAGTACTGCAAATAAAAAAGAGAGAGAAACAAAAATTGAAAGGTAAAAAAATCAGTGGCCAGATGCAGTGGCGCACAACTGTAATCCAGTGGCCCGGGGGCCTGAGATAGGAGGATCACAAGTTCAAAGCCAGCCTCATCAAATTAGCAAGGTCCTAAAGCAACTCAGTGAGACCCTGTCACTAAATAAAATATAAATAAAAGTCTGGGGATGTGGCTCACTGGTTAAGCACCACTGGGTTCAATCCCTGGTATCCCTTCCCCCCCAAAAAAAATCAGTAATCCCAGCTACAAGAGGCCGAGGCAGGAGGATTGCAAGTTCAAGACCAACCTGGAATAGCTAGTTTATCTATCTATCTATCTATCTATCCATTTATTTTTGTATTTATCTATTTAGTTGCCAGGGATTGAACCCAGGGACACTTAACTACTGAACCACACCCCAGCCCTTTTTATTTTTTATTTTGAGACAGAATCTTGCTGAGTTGCTTAGGGCCTTAGTAAATTACTGAGGCTGGCCTCAAATTTGCAATCCTCCTGCCTCAGTTTCCAGAGCTGCTGGGATTATAGGCATGTACCACCATGTACAGTTTCAACTTGGGCAATTTAGTAAGAATAAAAAAGGGGCTAGGATGTAGTGTAGTAGGTAGAGTATTTACCTAGCATGTGTGAGGCTCTGGGTTCAAGCCCCAGTGATACAAAAGGAAAGGAAAAAGGTTTGGCAATAAGCACCAACTAGGCACTTGGGAGCACTGGAACTGGGTGAAGGCTGCTCCTTCTGTCAGTTCCTACCTCCAGCGTTGGGCTCACAAACTGGTACCAATGACATAGTAGTTCTTGAACTTTCAACTGAAGAACCTGATAAAGACCTCTTTCTTCAGGGCTTCTTAAATATGCAGGGCCCCTGATAAAAGGGCTCTCCTCTCAAGCTGAGGGAGTCAATTCATTCTTTCAGATGCCTAGCAAGTGCTTACTTTGTGCCTGATATAACACCATGCCCTGACTGAAGACATCAGTACCTTTCATGATCCTGTGTTGCCACTAACCAGCTTAAGGGAAATCTAAAAGCTTTCTAGTAAAATAAAGGGGAAAAAAGTAGTTATGAAGAACAAACATATTTATCAAAACATTAAAATCTCAAGTGGCCATCTTATTCTTCATAAGAATAGGCCTGCCTCAAAGCCACTGTAGAAGTTAATTAAAAATATCCCTCTCCATGGAAAGCTTTGACTGAAAATGTCCTTAAGGTTGTCCTGAAAAACATCAAATGCAGCAAAAATCACTGAATACTCTTTCTCTTGATCACCCCTTGTGCTCTTGTGCACTGTTTTAACTTCTCACTTCTCACAGGATAGATTTCTCTGGTCATCTAACTGGGAATCAAAGAACAACATGAAAGGTCACTATAAAAATTGTCCAAACTGAGATTTTAAAAATGCATCTTGAAAAGACTGGCAAAAAATGTCTTTTCCTACCTCTATTCCCAGTTTGAAAAGGACATAGATAAAAACATAATCTCTTCCAAGCACCCAAATACAGAGAACAGACTAAAGCCCTGTTTATATATTCTGTAGCAAGTTCATCCTCTTATTAGAAGGAATCTACTTCCCAAGTTCAGGCCAAAGTCCTAAAAATAATGTCCTAGTTCTTAAGAAGATGTGAGCAATAGTGAAGCTACCTACACCCAATATCATAGAAAATGGCCCAAATATTTAGAAACTAAGGAGTTCAAACAAATTACAAGTGAATTCTTTGTTACCACATAATCAGTCTGCATTACATTCCACTTCTGCATTTTCAATTTTTCAATCTGAAAAAAATTGGTTTAAAGTTTGATACTTTGTTCCTATATAGATATATAACACCCTGAACTCTTGAAGGAAAGAATGTGTGTGTGTGTGTGTGTGTGTGTGTGTAAGCGGAATAATATAATGGACAAATAAAGTTAATACTTAATACTGTTCATGTTATTTTACTAACTTGGAATTTTTCTTCTATAAGATAGGAGAAGTGGGTGACATTCTCACAATTCTCCTTTCCTCAGCTGTCAATAAGTGGTCTAACTACATAGGAAACAGGAAGTTCAAATCAGACCAGAGAAGACTAGATTGCTAAAGTAGCTTAAGAGCCCTTTAAAAAAACAGCTCGAAACTGAAGAATTATGCCTGGAGTCAGGTTCACTTGGCATATTTGTGCTAAATACCAATATGTGACAAAGGGTTGAGGGCTTTATAATATCCTTGACTGAGAACAGGGGCACTTCTTATAAGGCAAATATTTTCCAAATTGCACAACCAGTTAAGCTAAAGAGAATAACTCTATTGATAAACCAATGGGGTTTGAGAGCTTGAGTCTTCTATAACAAGAACAAGTGGCTCATTTGTAGGACCAAATCAAAACTCAGAGAAGCCTGCTTGACTACTGTACCTGTGCTGTCCTGGAGTCAGTCACTTCCTTGTATAGGCTGATGTCCAAGTAATAGCCAGATTCGTTTGTCAGGAAGAGGCGGATGGGAATTGCTTTTCCAGTTGGTGTCAGGCGAATGTTGATTTTCAGTTCTGCCTGGAGGACGCGCAATTTCCACAGCCGACTTCCATAGCGCATTACCATGCTCCGCACAGATTCCTCAATCTGACATAGATACATCACCAAGTACAAAACTTAAATACCTTGTAACTAAGAACCTGTTTCAGGTCTGTCCGTCTTTGGGAAAGGAGGAATGGAAAAAAGATGCTGTTTTATGGAGATCTGTACACCATATACATTCGTTACACAAAGTGGGCAGATAGTTTCTCCCTAAAACTATTCTTGCTTAGAACAAGACAGGGACAATTTCATGCTGGTCTGGGATGAGAGCGGTTTTCTCTAACTCACGCCATCCAAATCAGTATAACTTCTTCCCCTTTCCCAATTATATTTGTACTCTATATCTAAGATCTGCAATATCTAAAATTAAAAGCTACAGGATTTAAGAGAAAGCCCCAAATGAGAATAAAATCCCTAGTTAAATAGCTATTAAGTAGCATTTATATGCATGGTAACTATGTTTCATTGCACTTACAGGACCTTAAATCAACATAGCAATTACCACCATGAGCTTTTTTCCATACACTTTTATTAAACTTTATAATATATGTCTCTTGCTAAATTGCAGAAATTAAAGAAAGGCAATTTGTAGGTGGTGCTAGAATGTTCTCTCCTAAACATTAGAGCTCTGAAGTTTGGTCACTGTCAAGTCCAACTGGGATTTAAGGAGAAGGGGCAAATGTTTCTTAGTTTTTCTAAACTTTAAACCAAGGCAGCTTAACACTTAGTTTTCAGAGTTACAAGAGTTATTTTAACTGAATGGACTTAAAGGCAATTTTGTTATTGACATGCTAACGCAAAACTTTTGTTTCCAATAGGCAATAGGCTCTTTCCTAGCAAGCAGCTAGGCCAGACTACTCAAATTTAATCTTTTCTTAATTATCTTTCTAAAATGCTTTATCAACATCCTAGAACAGCTCAACATTATCTCATATCTCCCTTCTCTTGTAGTACACTTAGGTAGTATGTGCTACCCTACAGCTTATTTCTCTAACACAGAATTTTAACTCAAAATAGATTTTAAGAAGTTAACTTCTCATCCCCACATTTGTTTGCTAACCAAGAGATATTTATCCATTATTTTCTTTAGGGAACAAAAGCCAACAATCTCTATGTACAAAAAATTGACAGCTATCTGATTAGAAAAGCAGAGCTGGGGCATATGGGTGTTAAGAGTTAGAGGCTGAAAAGTAAATATTAAAAATTCATTGAGAAAAGTCAAGCAAAATCTAAAAATATATATAGTTACACAGTATCCAGGTCATGTTTTAGCATTCTGGCTTCATCAGTCCCAAAATACTTAGGGCAAATATATACATATATTAGAGGAATACATAAATATACATATATTAGGAGAAATAATATTATATATATATATTCCCCCCACACACACACTGGCTAAGTGCCCCATGGGTTCAATCTCCCCAGTGGGAGGGTGTGTGTGTGTGTGTGTGTGTGTGTATACACACACATACACCATGGGGCACTGAACTACTGAGCCACATCTCCAGCCCTTTTTTATTTTTAGACAGGGTCTTACTAAGTTGCTTATGGCCTCACTAAATGGCTGAGACTAGCTTTGAACTCGCAAACTTCTTGCCTCAGGCTCCAGAGCTCCTGGGATTTTTAGGCATGTGCCACCATGCCTGGCTTAGGAGAAATTCTGCTTAAACTACATGATGAGGTTTGAGCCCTATCCTTGGCTTTCCTAACAGAAAATAATAACCCATTGTTAGCTTCGAGTTTTCAAGAAAAAAAAGTAAAGAACTGTTTCTCAGTTCTTAGATAATAAGTTCAAAATCAAAAGTTCGGCTGGGGTTGTGGTTCAGTGGTAAAGCACTTAATATGCATGAGGCATTGGGTTGCATCCCTGGCACCACATAAAAATAAACAAATAAAATAAAGGTAAAAAAAGCAAAAGTCTATGCCTATAATTGACCTTGAGAAAGGAGATACTTGGATATCCTATTCAAATTTCAGTCTCATACAGAGTCAGAGGGAGCAAAATAGAGAGCAGTCTGTCTTACACACCTAGGATAAAAAGGTCAAGTACAGGACTGTCTTGTTTTCTTTCCTTAAATTATATTGAATGTATTTTAGAATAGAGCCTCAGGGAAGAAACTAGACATAATATATATAATACATGTGAAATTTCTTTTTTTTTTTATTAGGGACACAATATCTTTATTTATTTATTTTTAAGTGTACTGAGGATCGAACCCAGTGCCTCTCATGTGTGATACAAGCACTCTACCACTGAGCTACAGCCCTAGCCCCGGCATGTGATATTTCTTATCAGCCAAATTCTCCTGTGGTAAACTACTAAAGAGAAATAGGTTAGCTATTTTGGGAAGGTGTCTTATCCTGGTAAGGCCACTAGGTAAGTATGTTAAAACACAGAAACAGTGTACTAAATGTCTAATAATAGCAAAATTATTTCACATGAGAAATTCTAGAAGATACTATAAAATAGAACTACTATCACGGAAAATATAAAACTTGTCCTAATGGAGGAAAAGAATTTTCATACTTTTATAAATGATCAGCAAGCAAACACCATGCCACCTTCAATACCGAGGGTTTTCTTAATGCCTATAGCAAAAATTTGCCACTGTCTCGGAAACTTAGTCTCTCAAGTACTGTGTAAACTTAAAAGACTCAAACTATTGGACAAGAACACCTGTTTCCAAGTCCAAGGAAGATACATATGGATGAATCTTTTTGCTTATGCTCTGAGTCCTGGCAGAGAAGCCATGAGAAATGTACCTTTGACGGGTCCATGATGACTGTGGGCACAAAGTTGAGGAAGATGTGGTTACAGTCTGTGCGAACATTTGTATTGTTAAAAGCAACTTCCAACTCATCCATGGCTTCCAGGAGCAGACGCTCCCCTTCATTTTGTAGATACTCAAAAGAAGCTTCCTATACAGGAAGAAAATCACCATCATTAATGTTTTTTCAAAGAAACAATAAATAAATGGCTATTATAACTACTTAACAGCAGTATGTCATAAATCATAAGGCACCAGGTGAAGACATTATTTGTTTTTCTCCCTAGAGTCCATCTAGTGATCACAGGCAGCAGGGGCACGCAAAGGCCACATACAGAGTGCTTGCTAGCCCTTTCTCTTGCCTCTTAGTGTATCGTTTCCTTCCAACACGTGGAAATGCTGGGTACCCCCAGAGCTGTAACACCAACAGGATTATAATTCATACATGTCAAACAAATTGTTTAGAACAGAAATCTGCTTAGAAATGAGAAGCTGAAGAAAACTCATGGCTATGCAATACAATAATAACTACACACCAGGAAGTCCTTGCTATATATAGACACTACCCATCCTGCTAGACAGGTTTATGGTGGGATTACTTCTTTCCTAACTCTTCTCCTTCTTCTCTATTATCACTCAACTCTCCCTTTGATTTTTCTCTTAGCACACTTTTCTTTTTCTCAAGTGAGTGCTATCATGTTTCCATTACCAAGAAAATCAGATTAAATAAAAATAAGCCTTTATTATTTGTAATATTTACTTTTGTGAATGAAATGACTCTCAGACACCTGCTGGTTATTGGAGAGTGAAAGGAAATAGAACAAGAGCCTGATTCAAACAATGAAAACATGATTTTGAACCTTTCTTATTTCTCTACCCCTTCCCTCAGGGATAACTTCCCATTGAAGTACAGCACCTACCTTGGTGACCAGATCGGAATGTCTGATGATTGCACGAACAAAGAACCTGTAATCTGTCACTTCTGTGCCAACTTCTACCTTAGCTGCCCCAAGATACAGGTGCATCTTGTGGTTAGCACATGGAATGGCAGTGAGGTCAAAATTTCTCATCCGGTTCAGCTCTAACTGGAAAGCTAGAGCAGGTTCCAGGTGACGATAGATTCGGTCCTCCTCAAACTGATCACAAGAATCAGACAAAAAATAGCTCACAGGAGGTAGTTATAAGATTATGATTACATAGGTAAAAGAGATGCTTGAAAATAGCAATGAAGGTATGATGCACTAATAAGCAAAAGAAAATGAGCTACATATAAGATATTGCTAAGGCTACTGCTATAGCTTATGTAAGATTAGGCACTAAGGTACCCATGCACTTAACTTTTCAACATATATGCTTTTACAAGTGGTGATGCTCCCCATTAAAAACAAAGACACTGGGCATGTTGGTCATGTATATAATCCCAGCAACTTGAGAGCCTGAGGTAGAAGGATTGAAAACTCATGGCCAGCCTCAGCAACTTAGCAAGGCCCTAAGCAACTTAATGAGACCTTGTCTCAAAATAAAAAATAAAAAGCTGAAGATGTGGCTCAGTGGTTAAGGACTTGTATGTTCACTCCCAGGTACTAAAGAACCAAAAATGAACAAACAAAAAGTTACAAACAAGCAAAAAATTTCAATTCCCTTGGAACTCCTATGGCATTTAATGTTATAACTCATTTTTTACCCTTAACTACAAACTGCTTCACATTAACATTTATTCACATGCTGATGTTTTAGGTTTACCCAAAAAGTCTAAAATGCTAAAGGACAGGACTTAAATCTTACCATTTATGACACACTACAAAGAACACAGTAAATGCTCAATAAATAAACATCATTTTTCAAAAAAGGTATTTGGCTTTGGAACATAATATATCCACAGATATATAATTATGCATCTTTTTCAAAAGTTTTATTAGTACATTTACTGTATGTTTGCTTGAAACTAAATTGTTTTTCCAGAGTACATGTCAACTGAGTGAATAGTGAGCCAGCACCAAAAATATTAGCTGGTAACAAGAAGAAACCAATAGTATGAACTACTATACTTTAAAATTGAAAAACAAATGCATGGGAATTAGAGTTGAACATAAGTTGTGACAAGAATAATTCTATAATGCAATATTGTTTAATATCACATCATTAGGATTGTTTTGAAGGATAGGGATGATTTTGAAAGTTATTGTTTTCTTTGGGTAGCTCAACACATTTGATTGTTTCCTAAATCAAACTCTTTCTGAAGGGAGTGTGCTTTAGTTCTAAAACACATGTAAACAAAGAGAAACACAAGTTCAATCAGAGAAAGAATGGGAAAGATAAGAAAACAGGAAAAAAAAAAATTCAAAGGGTAGGATTCTAGCAATCAGTCCTTACCTTATCCCTTGCTCGGAATGTGAAAAACTTAGGGAATTCTCTCTGTTAAAGAAGTGAGTAAAATGTGTCAGTCCTTCATAGATGTGGCCCTCTAGAAACAAACAGTATAGAAGAAGCTGGGCATCTAGAACAGTTTTCCAGAAAACGTGCTTCTCATCTAAGCCTGGTCCACAGAATGTGAATGGTCCTCTGAGTAATCATCACTTTGACCTCACTTTCAAATTTGAGAATTACCACATTACCTAAGTTTAGATATCTAAAGTATCTCCTGTTGCCAAAGTAAAAAATTTATAATGTTTCATGTCTCAAACTAAAACTTCCTGGGTGTTGTCTTGGCAAAATCTGGCAAATAAAACCAACATTACCCTTATGCTGCAGACACTGCAATAATAGTTACTAGAATGATTTCCCAAGTTTCTCCTAAACAAACTCTTAATGCAAACTAGCCAGACAGCATAGAATCTTCAGTCCGTGGTGTTGTTTTTTTTTTCCCCTACATTCATTCTCAAGTCAATAATGTCAAGAGTTTAAAAAATATTTCAAGACAAAGAAAACTATTAGATACTACTTTGGACACTACCACTCTATAGGAAAGAAAGGGTAGAACTAGTGAACTTATAATCATTAGGTCTTAACGCTCTTTTGCAGAGCATTACACAAGAAAGCAACCAATTTACTAGAACCTTATTAATTAACAAAGATGAATTCAATTAGAAGAGTTCATTAGTTTCTGAAATTTAACTTATTAACACCAAATACCCCTGTTTCTCGGATGGAAAGCTCTACTGGCAGTGTTGGAATCAAGTCGTTACCATTTGCTTTGACAGGAGGTTTCATTAGGCATCTTCTTCATTATGAGTGCAATATAATCAAACACTTATTGGTACAAGGCAAAGAGACCAGGACTAGCTGCCTACATATACTTCAGTGGGCTTTAGGAGCCATGAAGAAAAGATGTACTGAAAATCTTCTAGATGGCAGTCATTCTCATGTGTTATCCCAGTGAATGCTTACAACAACCTCAAGGGAGTCTTTATGACCCCCATTTTACAGATGTGCAATTACTGGTTTAAGTGATATGCCCAGGATCACAGAACATAAACTTGGGTCTCTCTGATGCAACAGCCATACCCTTCCACCTCTCAAGTGCAGGGCATCATTACTCTATTCTTGTTATAATCCAAACGTCTCCTTAGAGGATTTAGCTTCATGAGACAACAAAACAAAACAACAGAACAACAAAAAGATCCCCTAGAAAACCCAGAAATTAAGACTTTGTTTGGTGGAGAGGAGGCAGAAAACAAACGAACAAAGCAAAACTTGTGCTAAAAACTTGTGGTTTATGACTTTACTGAAAACTTGAATACTTTCCACAGATATTATACTGTATCCTTACCTTGCACAGTTAATACACCTTTTCATATTTTTCTCGGTGTTTTAACTATAAAAGTGATTTTAACATACTCCTACAAGTGCATTTACTATGCCCAGGGATATCACTTGTCCAGAGTTGGGTCTTTAAAAGTCCTTTGAAGGTGGATTTTACACAGAACTGATCTTTTACTAATGACATTTTGTTCTAAATAATTCTCCGATGTTCTCCCCTCCCCCTGCCCCAGTGACAGTGAAGCAGATGGGGATAACTTCAAGGTGAAGCAGGAATACATTCAGCTGAGTTGTCAGTAGATTTCATGCTCAGGGATTTATATAATCTAATTTTGGCTTTATTCTAGTGAAGTTTAGCTTTCAGTGTATTACCTAAAAAGTAACACATGTCAAAAAGGATGGGTAACAAAATCTTTCCATGGAACTAACTCCCTGAAAGAAAAGTCATCAAGGAGAGTGACAATATAATTTTTAAGTATATATTTTTCTATTTTGCCTGAACTATTATTAGCTAATTAATTAAAATATTTATTTAGTATACCATTTATCCATTCGTACACATTATTACATTTTCCTTCAAACACAAAACCATTTTCCTTCAGAAACAATACCAATAAAAAATGCTTTCTTTTCCACTAAACAAATTAAGAAAATTTATAGTAAATAGCAAGCACAAAAGTAAATGGTTTGAATGGAAATACTTTTATTGCAAATAATGAAAGAAAATGATTTTGGTGGAGGGTGAACTATGTGTAGGTGACAAGACTGAGCAAATTGTTTAAAAAAACAATTTCATTAAGGTTAGCTAAAAAAAAAGACATCATGAGATGATATAAAAGCAAACTTTTTTTTCAAACATGTGAGTAAATTTTTAGCTCCACAGTAAATTTAAATATTGAACATTCAAAAAGGGGGGTGGTAAGAACTTTCATGCAATGGGAAAGCAGGACTATTGAGAAATTCTTTGGGAGACCAGAAGTCTGAAGACTTTTATAGAAAGCCACTCAAAACAAAAAACACCACCACAGAACCATAGAAAAGAAATCTAAAAGTCTGATCCTTCATCTCACCTCATCTTCATACTGCCAATTTTTCCACTAACAGCACTCATGCTTATTCTATCACTAATGTAATTGCTTTCCAGGCATTCTACTAGTGTTATGGGCAAATATCATAATTGAATGTACACAAAGAAAAACCCTCTTAGTGTTCTGGTACCAAAAACAAAAGAATGCAACATTTCTCAGGAAGAAATTATACCCCTGCTGTGTTCTAATCAGCCAACCATCATCAAGACAATCAAAATAATTTGCCTAAATTAGCCAATCAAGACACCCTGCAAATCAGAGAATGTGAAAACCTGCAACAGAAAACATCATAGCTGATTATGATACTAATAATCGTGTTAAAAACCTAATGAGATGAAGAAATTGGGAGCTTGCTGGTGCAATTCTCTTTTACCTCAACATGCTGAGAACTAATTATATAGACTGTAATTAAAACAAAAACCCATACCAAACCCTCTGAAAACTCATAGTTGGTCCACTAGCAAACAGAACTACCTTTTTGGACAGAAAGGTTGAAAGGAAGGAAAGAAGGAAGAACAGACAGACATCTACACATAAATACATGAATTATGAAACTTGACAACTGTTCATGAGCTCTTCCCTCAAAACTTAAATAATCCAAAACATTTAATTTTAAAGTGGGAGTCACTCATAACAATCATGAAACTACAATTATTTCTTGGGATATGCGTAACAATTTAAAAAATCTCATGAAATCTTACATGTAAGAAAGGAAAAAAAAAACCATTTTATTAACAGATGCAAAACTGCTTGATTAGAATCTTTTCACAATTTTTGGACCTGATGTTTTGATTTAAGTCGCAAAGGAAAGGAAGAAGTCCTGAAAATATGCATTTTAGTCTCCTTAAAAAGCATTTTGCTGGAGCTGAGGATGTAGTTCAGTGATAGAGCACCTACCTAGCACATGTGAGGCACTGGGTTTGATCCGTAGCACCACGTAAAAATAAATAAATAAAATAAAGGCATTGTGTCCAAAGCACTTTGCTAATATATAGCCAAGCATATTCCACCATGCAGTGGTGCATGCCTATAATCCCAGCAATTGGGAGGCTGAGGCAGGAGGGCCACAAGTTCAAGGCCAGCCTGGGCGATTTAGCAAGAACCTGTCTCAATATAAAAATTAAAAAAGGGATGGGGAGTGTAGCTCAGTGGTAGAGAGCCCAGGGGTTAAAAAAAAAAAATGATATCTCTCCCCAAAAACCATGATATCTCCCAAATTTGTACCCTCTGCTACACTTTTTAGAATTCCAGTCCAGAAATGTGAGTGAAACTAACAGAGAGTGAGTTGGTGAATTTTAACTAACAACACTGTAGAGCTACATCTTAGACAACTGCAGAAAATAGCTACAAAAATTCAAGGAGCCTCTTTTGCTTTGAAGGATACTTCTTTTTAATACAATTATATATATATGGATAGAGTTGTTTTTCCTCAAACTTTCTGCTTAAATATCCATTTTAAGCAGCTATGTTTTAAAGTCCCATTACGAGTATTTGATTCAATTAGGTGGTTATGGAAATGGACTGACACCAAACTTCCTTATAGCCGGTGAGCACTGCCATCTCAGAACAAGTCCCCACTTAGAGTAAAGCTAGCTAGAGTAGCTGGCTTTCTGGGGACTATGGTGACTATACAGTACTGGAAATGCTTAGAGACAGCACTGATATCTGAATAAACACCTCAAAATATACACACTCTCCAGGAACTTCTCTTCTGGTCCTCGTTTGCCTTGTTCTAGTTCTGAAGCAGTCTGAAAGACCATGACTATGAAACAGCATAGCTTGCTTCATTCCATAACAACATTGAACAAAACTTGGTAACCTTCCTTCTCTCCTTGCCCCCTCACGTGTGCATTCTCTCTTCTATTCAATAATATAGGGATTTCACAGTGTAGAACAGGTAGGCTGCATACATCACAGTGGATTACCAAGAAGCCAGAGAGATCAAGGGATTCATCTCTAACACTCCTGGAAAGCTTCCTATTTTTCACACTACACTAACTATGGCCAAGCACACATCAAATGACATGACAGAGGCTAAGCATCCTTCATGAATGGCAAGCTACCACCAACAGACAAATTCACAGGAGCACTATGATAGCAAGCCCTGGATTTGTACAGTTTCTGCCAAGGCTTCCTGGCCATTGTAGATCCTGGATAGAGTTCAGTAATAGTTGCCCTTGTCCCCTGTGAAATTCTAACCATTTCTAAGGAACATAACATAAAGCACCCCAACTACTCTGACATTCAATTCTTTAAAGCAAATCTAGTCTACACTTAAACCTTAATGTTCTCTATGCTCTAAAGCAGACTTTCCTACACTCAGGACAAATCAAGTCACTTGATAATTTCACTGATTTCCCACTCAATGCCACTATAAATAGGAACAGTGATTGCCAGGCGAGACCTCCTGCTGATCTCATTTCCTAACAGATTTTGCCTAAACATGTCCCCATTGAATAGAAATACAGAAATATTAGGACAGTGGGGAGGAAACGTCTTAGAGCTGTTAGACATACTCTAGGACATGACATAGATTCAGAGAGATAAGAATTTGTCTTTATTTTGTGTGTTTCATACCTAAAATATTTTTTTAAAATTATAGTGAGAACTAGTAATTTTAAGTTAAAAAATTTAGTGAACTGTTGTAACTGATCATGGAATGCTTATTACAGGAAACCAGTTAGTATACTAGAGACATGAAGACTCCATCTGCACTATTAACAAAAAGGAAAAGAATTTTAAAAATTCAGCATCATTCCCCAAAATAATATGTTATTATTCCAAACTCAGTGACAAAAAAGAAAAAGCACACTAACATTTAAGAACCTTGACCGATACTTTTCCAAAATCCAGGGATGACTATGGTATGTCTATCTTAGCTCTGACCAGTCACGGTGTTTATTCATAGGCTTTCATATTCTGTCCCCAAATATCAATTTTATTCTCTAAGCTCCTGATTTTTCTTCCTAAAGCCCCAGGGTTCTCTTTAAGCTCCTCATACTTCTCCAGTGACTTCAGTTTCCTATTTAAAATTATTGATTGATATATATCTGCACTCTGCTTGATTTCCTGACATCAATAACACAAGGGAGCTGTATAGTCCACAACATTTCCTAAAGCATTTCAGAAAATCCTAGCTCTTTAGTTTGCAGGGTTCTCTACAGACTAGTTCAGCAAGGTGAATTGTAAGAGGGGAAACAAAATGTCAAGTATTAGAGACTTAATAAACAAAAGGTTAATAAAAACAATCACACATAGGTCCTTGAATTTAGAAAGTCTTTTCCAGAATCTCAATGTTATCTTCATTATTACAAATGAGTAGGGCTTGAAAACTAAATTATCTTACTTGCTAAAACAAAACAAACAGAAAAGCAAAATGAAATAAAATTTTTCATCAAGAAAATTGAGACTTCCTAACATCCTCTGGAATCTTTCTTAGCTACATTAGAATTAATTTTTAGTGAGATATTTTGACTATAATCAGTCATTTTGAGAATGACATCTTGACTGTGAACTAGATCTTTCACTTTACTGCTGTCATTATACTAGGTTTGATCACATGGGTATACTACAGTTGAGATACAAGGCTATTAACTTAGTTGTCTTTCACATAAAAACTTTAATTTCATAAATATTAAAAGTCAATTCAAGGGCTGGGGCTGTAGCTCAGTGTAGCATTTGTGAGGCCCTGGTTTGATCCTTAGCACCACATAACAATCAAACAATAAAGAAATGCTGTCCATCTACAACTACAAAAAAAAATTTTTTAAAGTCAATTCAGGTAAATGGAACTACAAACAAAAGAATACTTAATTTTTATTTATTTCCTATTCTTAGAATTAACATAAGATAAAAATAGCAACTTTGGCTCTGCTACAGCATTTTTAATAATAAATCACTATTCTTCAGAAGTGAGATTTCTTGATAATAGAACTTGAATCCATATTTGGTAGAAGCCAAAACCTCAAAGTACAACTGATTATTGATTCATATGTGCACAGAAGAAATTATTAGTTCCTACTTCTACCTTATTCATCTGAAGAAAAGCATATGCTCATCCTTAACTATTTCTCAGAGAAACATTAAGAATTCATTATAAAATTTTTTTAAAAAAAGGAAAAAAACTTTTGCTGGAACACTTGATAGAAGGATTGAATATTCATCATAATACTTTCTAAATGAAGAGAGACCAAACATCAGCAGTCTAAACCCTTCTAAATAACTCAGACATGTTCTGTTTCAGTTATTGGTGGCAAACAGATAAAACAGTAAGTTGTCTTTCATAATTGTTCCTTTTACTTACATGAAATCTCTGATCCACCTCACAGTTGACCTGCTTTCTAAAATCCTTTCAAGTAAGACAGAAAGAAAAAAAAAAAACAATAGAAACCACCAATTAGTAATAACATTTTAAATGAACTGAGTAATAAGTAAAGAGTTTAGAAAGCCCTTCCCAGAATCTCAAATGTTTTGTCTAATGTTTATTAAAAATTAAATTTATAGGAAAAGTTATTTCTCTGCATAAATTCTATAAGTAAGCATATTACTACAATCCCACTTTATTTTAAAAATTGTGGTAAGAGCACAAGAAATACACATACAATTTCCATGTCAATCAATACCTTTTGTGCAACCAGAAAAGTAAGGCGTCGAATTCCATGCTCAACCAAGGTAGCTTTCTATGAACAAACACATAAAATAAGATAGATGACATCTCCATTCAACCTAAATTTTACCCTGTTCAATCCTTGTAACACTCTGTTTGGGTTAAGTACCCTATTTGGATATTTGTAATCTCAGCTCTGAATCTTCAAACTTGCAAATAAACAGATTTTAACATGGCTCCTGTGGCTAAGTCTTAAGGAATAGGTTTTATATTAGTTTGCAAAAAAATTGAAAGAAAACTTGGTGGAAGAGAAAGGGTTATATGAAGTCAAAGTTCTGTCAGAATTGCTTCACACCAAAGTAAGCCTACAATTCATGTTTTTAGAAATTAAAGTATTGGTTGTGTATTTAAATGTGAAAATTAATACTACTGATGTATAAGCTAAATGAAATCAAGTAGATGAAAATAAAGAACTTTCTATGAAACAGAAATATAGATATTACCTAGAATATAGATATTACCTACCATTAGATATAGCATTTCTAGTATCTAACAAATCCTAACCTTTCAGTTCTTCAAAAACAATTCCCCCTTACTTTACATGGAGTTATTTTTTTTTAAAGGTTATCTTTAAAATTTATTGAAAACAATGTTTAATAGGCTTTTAAATTTAAGGAGCATCCATATCTCCACTTGGCATAGGCAAATGGTATATTAGGAGTAAACAAAGACTAAAAATCTCAAGATAGCCTCTTAAGAGAGTCTTGGACCTCTGGAAATTAGCCTCTCTCTATCCTTTACTATTCACTTACCTCAAAAAGCAAAGAAACAGAGTATGAATTAAATGAAAGACGTGCTTTTAAGAGTACTAACAAAGGGGCTACATGGCAACATATAGAAAAAATGATCCCACCAATTGAATGACTTGAGAGAATATATTAATAGTACAAAGAGAAAAAAAATACATGGCCTTTTACAACCTACATCCAGACTTAAGTTTGATAACATTTCTTGCTATAACTCTAACCAAGAGATATGTTCAAAAGCCAATTTTTAAAAAAATTTTGTTCTAATTAGTTATACATGACAGTAGAATGTGTTTTGACACAAGCCAATTTTTTTTTTTTTTTAAAGAGAGAGTGAGAGAGGGGGGAGAGAGAGAATTTTAATATTTATTTTTTAGTTATCAGAGGATACAACATGTTTGTTTTGTATGTGGTGCTGAGGATCGAACCCAGGCCGCACGCATGCCAGGCGAGCGCGCTACCACTTGAGCCACATCCCCAGCCCCAGCCAATTCTTAATTTTCATTTTTTTTAAATCCAAATTTGCTCCCCCCACCTTTTTTTAAATCCAAATATGCTTCCCCTTATAAAGAAGCATGTTTCTGGGACATTTTCTCATATTTCTCTATTTCTTCTACGGTATTGCTCAGTAATAAAACTGACTTTACTAACAGTACAAGCAAAAAATACAGAAAAAATAAATTTTATATATATAAATTCTAATAATAAATTCCTAGGTCAAATATAAGTTTTGATCCAACCACACTTAAAAATATTCCATACTGTCATCATGCTCCTTAGCATAAATAACCAAATACTGACACTACAATAAGGAAAAAACTGTGTAGAAAGAAAAGGGGTGTGGTGGTGCCTAGTCTCCCAGTGTAACCAGGAACAGAAGCATTCCTTCTGACACCAACAAAGAATTCCACTATAGTCAGGTCCTTCAAAGGCAAGCATCAATAGCTATGTTCTGGCAAGGGAAGAAAATAACTTTAATAATGCCATGATTTAAAATCAAAATTGTTATTGCTTTTAAAATTCCACAAGTGGCTGACAATAACAGCAGAGCAACAGGATTCTGATTACATTGTAATAATGTGGGTCTCACAGCAAGTCCACAGCTATTACCCAGCGATTAGGCGTCAGCACCTGGAGAAACTCCATTTACACTGACTGCTTCAATCTCCTCCACAAGTCATTTACAAATATATGATCCTAATTTCTATGAGAGAAAAAAAGACATGCTGGGACTAGAAGATTATTTGGACAATTTGGATCAACCTATTTGATAGTTTAACGCGTATGTTAAAAAAAAAAAAACTTTCTAAACTGCTATGAGCATGATCATGAAGTGAAAAACAAAACTAGTTATCACTTCAGCTTTCTTTTCTTAAATTGCTTTTCCTTCCTTTTCTTCTTTCATATATATTTTTAAATAAGGAGATGAAAATGCCAAATATTTCTAGATAAACACAATACCTGATGCAGTTAATAGCTTCTCTTGGCCTGGAATGTCAGCACAGTCTACCCTGACCCTTCTGAATAACCTTAGGCAAAGACTAGATTTCTCTGTGTCACAGCTTATAAGTCAAATAAAGGAAAAAATAATCCCTTATTGCTTATTCATGTTAAATAAATTTATATATTTTATAAATAAATAAATAAAGACACTACCTCTTTAAGTCTGTGTGATGATATACAATATTTAGATCTGAAGGTGATAAATAATTTAAAGTTGTGGTCAATTATGGAAAAAATCAAATACAGGCAATCAGTGCTTCAAAACCTGGGAAGAAACTTTCATAGATTTATTTCATGAAGCAGTAGTGGCAACCACCATATACAACTTTGGATTCTTCCACTAAAGGTCACTGGCCTCACTGGCCTTATGTGGTCACTGACCAAGAACAAGAAGGAAGGTAAATTGTTCTTCTAAAGAAAAATTCCCAGGCATGTCACCTACTTTTCTTTCTCTGAAAGTACCTTTTACTCATGTCGGCCACTGCAATCCTTGATAGCATAGCTAGTCTATGTGCCCTGAGAGTATTATGGAGTAAATGCTGATGCATGTTAATTACAAAGTTTCCATCTTTTCCCTAGGTATCTACCATTAGAATTACATGATTTGAATGCCAGTGGCACTAATTGTTTATACTGCTGAATTAAGTTTTAAAAACATCTATTGAATTTTTTCTCTAAAACAAGCACTGTAGACTAAGTGCTATCCATTCAAAGAGAACACATGGGTCCGGCCATTAAAGGCAGTTTGTATTTGTTTTTTTGCAGTACTGGGGGTTGAATAAGGGCCTCACGCATGCTAGACAAACAGTTTACCACCGAGCTACATCAAACTAAAGGCAGTTTAAAAGGGTGCTTTGGCATTTATGACATACCACAACGAAATGTTAACTGTAGGGAGTGGGGTGTATGTAGTTCAGTAGTAGAACATTTGCCTACTATGTGTGAAATTCTAGATTTAATCCTCAGCACCATACAACAAAATTAACTACAGATTATCGTTTTCAGCATGCCTATCCTGTCCCCTCAATTTCACTATAAGAATCTTTATAGATAAAAACCACTTTTATTTATTTATTTTTTAGTTGTAGGTGGACACAATACCTTTTATGAATTTATTTTTGTGTGGTGCTGAGGATCGATCCTAGGGTCTCGCACGTGCTAGACGAGTGCTCTACCACTGAGCTACCACCCAAGCCCAAATAAAAACTATTCTTATTGCTAATAAATATATGGTAATGAGTAATTCAAGGGAGTTACTCAGAGTTAATGAGTTACTCAGAAGTCCTCACCAAAGAGGTAAAATTTGAGACAGTTCTTAAGCAGAAGGGAGAAAGGGAGGAAAAAACTTTCTAGGTGAGAGGTGAAGGAAAATGATGAGACTTTAAGTTCAGACTATGGAGTTTATAAATGTGAGATATCAAACTGATATAAATTGAAAGGAGGATGGAAGCATAACTAATATTTTTGAAGGAAAGAAGAGAAAGACAGAGAAGGGATTTGTGTTGTGTTTGGGCTTACACATGTGGAATTAGGAAACAAAAGAGGCTGAACATGGTGGCACATGCCTGTAATCCTAGCTGCTCGGGAGGCTGAGGCATGAGGATCATGAGTTCAAAGCCAGCATCAGCAAAAAGTTAGGCACTAAGCAACTGGGTTAGATCATGTCTCTAAATAAAATACAAAACATGGCTGGAGATGAGGCTCAGTGGTCGAGAGCCCCCCGAGTTCAATCCCCGGTACCTGCCTCCAAAAAATGTACTTAAAAAAAAAAGACATAAAATATTAAGGAGGTGACTGGAATTTTAAGACTAGAAAGCTTAAACTTTACGAACATAACTTTCCTTAAAAACATTTCAAATATTTGTTGACACAAAAAGATATTCATAGCCATAGCCAGGTGCAGTGGTGCACACCTGTAATCCCTGCGGCTTGGGAGCCTGAGGCAGGAGGATAGCGAGTTCAAAGCCAGCCTCAGCAAAAACGAGGTGCTGAGCAACTCAGTGAGACCCTGTCTCTAAATAAAATACAAAATAGGGCTGCAGATGTGGCTCAATGGCTGAGTGCAATTCAGTTCAATCCCCAGTCCCCTCCTCCAAATTTCTTTAGAATTTTATTCTTATAGGCAGAACTAGCCACAATTCTGATGGTTATGATAAAAGACATAGCCATTATAAATGATAAACCTTACAAGTAGCAACGGATAAAAGGATGGTTTTTGTCAGGCACAGTGTTGCACACTCATAATTCCAGTAAATAATAAGGAGTTTGAGGTCAGTCTTAGCAATTTAGTGCCACCCTATCTTTAAAAAAAAAAAAAAAAAAAGGTTCAGCAGTAGAACACTTGCCTAGCATGTGCCAGACCCTAGGTTCAATCCCCATTCTGGTGCAGGGTGGGGGATGCCTTTGACAACCAGCAGGAAGGGCCACCACCAGCTTCACTTAATCAAGGACTTACATTTTGTTGGGTAAACTCTCTGAACATTGCTGCCAGCCTGTCGTCCTCAATATCACCATCAGTCTTGATAGCCACATTCAGAATGTGAATTGGTTCATCCCTGGGGACCTGGAACCCAAGAACACAAACCAAAGAAATGACGACACTGGCTAACACAGAAGCAAGAATAAGTTATAGCACCTGGCAGAATAACATAAAAAGAAGTCCACCTCCACAGGTTGTTCTGTTTTTCTAATCAGTAGGAATAAACAAACTGAAGTACTGCCTAACAGCCACAAAAGAAACTAAAAAAAAACACAGAAAAGATAAGCCAGCAAAGGTATTAGCTTGAATTAGCTTTATCTTGACTTGACATGAACTTGAAGATCACCATGTCTCAACTTTTTCACTACCAAAATGGGAGTTAAACCATTTTATTTGCCACCATTCTTCAATGAATGTGAAGAGAAATGAGTGAAAGAAACCATCTGACCATATTCTCACATAAAATATCTCCTTATGGTTCATCCAACACTGGAAGTATCAAACTATGGGAAAATAATGTTGTAGGTGAAGAACAGAACAATGTGTTTACTAAGAAATGAAAAGAAGAGATTTCATCAAAGTACAAAGTTTTAAACAAATATCTATTTTTCTGCAGTCTAAAAATCTACTATTCCCTGAGGACTATAATAACACCAAGATGAAAAGATACAAACCATAACTGAGTAAAAATTCAGCAATCAAGGTTCAAATCTTTAAAACAACATGCAGAGACTGAGAGGCAGCTGCAATGGATATAGCTGAGTCCATTCTACACTATGAGTTCTAAGATTAATTAGTATTTCTTTAAATTAAGAATTTAGCCAGGCACAGTAATACATGCCAGTAACTGCAGCTACTACAGAGGATGAGGCAGGCGGATTGAAAGTTTGAGGCCAACCTGAAGAACTTAGAGAGATCCTGTCTCAAAAACTAAAAGGGCTGGAGAAGTAGTTCAGTAGTGAGCACCCCTGGGTTCAATCCCCAGTACCACAAAAAAAGGAAAAAAAATTCATGACCTGTTTCCAAAAATACTTCAATGAGGCATATTAAATTAAAAAATGTAAAGTAGGGTTAAAAAGTAAGTTCTTCTCTATCATATCCCAAAGTCAGAAAGATAGTACACAGTACAAGTCCTGTGTCTCCATATGTTCCAAAGTCAGAAAGATAGTATATAGTATAAGTCCTGTGTCTGAAAGAACAAAGCAGACTCCCAAAGGGGTTACTCACTATACCTTGTCTTCATCATATAGAGATGTATGGCCTGCCTCTGGGAATGTGGGGCTTTGGGGTGGGGAGTCGGAGAAGCAGCCCATCACGTCATCAAATATTCTGAAAAATATAGAGAAACACCCACCATGAAAATCTGAGTGGCAGAAAACCTAAGTGGCAGGAAACTAATGCTACCATTGGCAGCTCAGTCTAAAAGAATAATCTATGCTGCCCTGTGCTCAATAGTCAACTGAATAGAATCACCAGTGGCTAGAGATGACATGCAAAATTTCACCAAGTGGCAGAAATTAGGAGGATAGATTGTTTAAATTTTAATAAACCATATATATATTTTCTTTTTAAAAAAGAAAGATCTAGTGCTTTTTGGGTTTTTTTTGTTGTTGTTGTTTGTTTGTTTCGCTATATGTAAGATATGAGCACTGCTGTCATCATCAGTCTTAAAGTAACAGAAAGAGCCTGGGACTGGAGCAGTGACAGACCAATGTAATTACCCCTCCCCCTAGGGTAATGCATCAGTATACATCAAGAGATAGATGCTGAATTCATTTAATCAAAAGATGTATCGTCTCTGGTGGGGCTCACTCTAGTGTTGTGTTTAATTTCTCCTGACATTTCACTCATCACAGAGCAGACAGCTTCTTCTGTTAGCGTCTAAGGAAAAGATGATTTTTGTTTGTTTCTTTTTTTTTTTTTCTGACCAGGCTCATACTACAAGCAGAGGCTTGTAGAGTCTGAATGAGAGATGGAAATGAAAAGATACATATTTCTCTGAAGGCATATACAATAAGGGTGATACCTCTTTAACTAGTTCATGGCCATTCTGGGGAAGGTGAGACCCCCAAATAGACAGATCCACGGCTCCCCTTATACAAACACAGTTCCACAATATCTTACCTGACAAAATCTTCAAAAGTCCGAAAAGAGACCATTCCACCCATCCGCTGACATGGTGGTGTGAAAGAGTTGTCCAACAGCACATCGCTGACACTAGCTACATGAGTCATGCCATAGTGGTTGAGGTTGGAGGAGAAGGACATTCTAAAGGGCAATTCAATCGAGTTCATTAGACAAGGAGGGTAGGAATGAGGATTGGGAGGTAACAACAGGGAAAAGAAGATAGGAGAAAACTCTGAAGTAGGGTCAGGTTGCAGAGCAGATATGGTTTTTTGCCCACTATAGACAAGGTTGTTTTGTTAGATTCATGTTTCACTTGAATTTTCCCAAACAAACTAAATTTTCATCATTCAAAGTTTCTTTAAATACAAATGTTAAGTTGTGTCAGGAATTTCACAGCATGACATGTCTGATGAATGAATACCACATAGGGGTTAAAAACCATCCTGCATCTTCCCCCTCCCCAAACATTCCCTCCATTAAAAGGAAATATGCAAACTGAGTAATTATGCAACACTTAAGGCATTTTTTTTTCTCTAGGAACTGTGATAGGTTAAGTATTCACAGATGTATAGATAGGTAAACACATGTATATAAAATAAGAATTCTAATTAAGAAGAATAAAATGGTTTAGTAAATCATTACAAAAAAGCATTATTTATGGTACAGAAACAAGTCTGTCTATAAAATGAACTTTACTGAGGTATTTACCTTTTACTTTAATGGGCTGATAGGGATAGTTAGAATTATAGTCCTCTCTTTTTAAAAAGAGAGACATTTTTTAACCCCAAATTGCAAAATTTCCTTTTTATATTTAAACAATTCTATACCAAAGCAAAAATATCTTCATTGAGAGCTCTTAATAATTTCCAGCAAGATACGAAAAGCAGAGCATGGGTCTCAAAGTATGTGTAAGCATGACAAATAGTTGCTAAATGAAGATGCTTGAAGAGAACTGAACTGATTTGTTCAATCTAAACTGTAATAAATCTGAATATTCCTTGATGCACCTCAGAAGTACGCACTGATAAATAATACTGCAAGGTATTTCTGAATGCCCAGTCAATCAGGACAGCCTGTTAGGAAGGACCAAGCTAATGGATGCCTCCAGGATTTGCCTGACATGTTACTGACATACTGATCTGAAGCAAGTTCAGAGTGAGGCCATGGCACCTGCACTTTGGGGAACTGCCCAAAAATCTCCTTAAAGTATACCACCTGCAGTGCTGCAGGAGGAAGAAAGCCAGCAACGTGAACTTGAGACCTGGGTATTTACTGCACCCTATTGCAAATCATACTTGTAAAAGGCAATGGAATTCTTTATAGGATGGAAATGCTGCTCACACAGACTATAGAGACTGACACTCCTGGCTTTCATTCCTTTGGTAAATGATGACTACGGAAAGGTATGTCATCTTTTGACAATACTAGGGAATAGAAAGGCAGAGTGGGAGAGGAAACCATGGATACCATGAGTGAAACAAACAAATGAAACACACATCAAGCAAGTCTTACACATGGCACTCACTAGAAACTGGGATTATGAGCTGTATTAACCCAGAAATGCTATCATTCTGTTCTTTTCTAGGTTCACCAAATATATTTAGTAAAGGAGCAACTTTCTGAGGTATTTTTCTACCTGTGTGGTATTAGACAGAAAAGATATAAGGGTTCCCGATAACATTTAAATGGAACTCCCTCTACAAAATCAACAGGCTGTGTTTGTAGCAAACATAGGGTTAATATCTTTTACCCTAGACTGAACCCCATGGGAAATATATACTATTCAGTTTCCCTTCTCTACTATGCTCCTGGGCCAGCACAGCTAAGGGCAGACAGAATGAACCAAGTCCACTCTCTAAGGGGAGACTGGAGGATCCTATAAAAACACTGCCTTTCTTCTCCACATCTCAACTGAACTCTAAAAGCTATGATCAGTTTTGATTACTTAATATTCTAAAGGGAGAGGTACAAAATAAATGTAAACCTATAATTATTTTCACATCTAACATTATCTACAAAGAGTTCACTGCCTTCGCACTTTGTAGATTCAACTCCAAGCAGAACCGCTATTCTCTCAAACTTGCATTGTGTTACCTTGCTTGGCTCGAAAGGCAGGAGGAACACAAAGTAAATACTAAAGTCACTTGTGTTATATTGGCCTGGAAACCTCTTCACAGGGCTGAACATATCAAAACCTAAATATATTTTTCCAATGTTCATCTTATTATAGGTTTAAATTCAAAACTTGACTTTCAAATCATTATAAAACTAATATTTCAGAAAATATTAGCTAACAAACTCATAAAACATGAAATCAACTATATCTAGATTTGTACTCCTCTTAAAGGAGGAACAACTTAGAGCAACTAAAAATTGAAAAGACTGTGAACAATTTGCAGATAGGAGTACCCTTAATGGTTTCTCCTCAAAGTCCCAACTAGACAGAGAACTCAGTAAAAGATGTTTTCAGTAAAGCTGAACATCAGGCAGACAAACTCCCTATCACATACAGTTAAATAGGAGTTTTTCCATACTGATGTGTTCAAGTATTGCTTTTAGAACAGCTGAAGAAAAGCTGAAGACACGTTTTCCAAACAGAAATAGTAATTTAATCTGTCCAAAGGGGAGCTCAGGACTCTCTAGCAGAAGATAACACATTAACTTGTCAAGTGTAGCATTATTTTTCCTGGTTTCGCTTTCTAAGTTATAAGAAAAAAAAAAGAGAGAGAGAGAGGTGCTTTTAATTGGAAAAGAAACTAAACATACGGTACCTGTTTAGCGTGGGGATGTTCCCTCTGTAATTAAACAACCACAGTTAGTTACTGATAGGTTAGTGAAAGCCATAATAAAAGAATTGTCAGAGTAGATACAGACCAGTCACAAGGAGCTCCGGTTTGGCAGCTCTAGCATTCAGCAGACATAATTAAGTGCTCATTACCCTTCAACCCCCAGGGTGCCTCCAAAGAGGCATGCCTCCTGACCTACCTCTCTACAGCAGCTGTTGAGGAAAGGGTCAAAATGTATTTGCCATGGAGTTTTCAAAATAACTCTATTATAAAACAATTATTCATAGTATTGGTAAAACACAGACTAATGAAAATTAATTCAAGCTATATGATATGGTATGTTGTCTTAAGCTGCAACATGAAATACAATTCTTGACAAGATTCTTAAAGACTCATTTCTTGTTTCTATTATTAAAGGTGTAATAAGAGAAGTTGATTACACAGTTTCTCCTACACCTTAATTGTTTTTCTACAATTTGTAATGGACCTACAAATGCTCTTCTAAAGAAAAGAATCCAGTGATCTGAGTTTCCAGTTTTTCAGTCATATTCTTGCTTCTGTGGGGAGAGGAATGGAGGGTACCCTGTGCCATAGGAGCTTAAACTGAAAATCATGATAAGTGATTCTATCACTAGAGTGGTATAATTGGTTAAAATTAATTAATACTTTTTAATTAAATGAATTTAGGGTAATAATTATTTTTTAAAAAATATTAGCTTAAAAACTCTAGGACTCTTCGTAAATAAAACCCTACTGAAAATTGACTAGTCCTAGAACTTTCTCATAAAGAATATGCCAAAATCATCAAAGAAAGACTAGAATAAGAATGGGAAATAAGGCAAGTCTCTTGTGTTCTCTTTGCCACTATTATTTAAAATCTTAATGTCAGTCATTTCCCCAACTGATAAAGAATCAAATAAAAATCCTTATTTTCAATGTTAAATGGGCAAAGTTATACTTACCACCCACAATTTCGGGGCAATAAAAAGTGGTTGATTGGTTGCTATCTTAACCTTACATTCTTTGATCAGCATTTAATCATTGTTGGAGTTTTCTGGCACACAGAGGACTTAATGGGCAGAACATAGTGGGTGGTGCTGATGATATGTGGGAAGGAGGATAGAGGGAGGAAAGTGATGCACTTGCCATGGCAGTGAAAGGAGCAGAACAGACTGAGCTGGCCATATAAATAAAAAGCTGTGACATATCACTGCACACAAACTGTATACCTCATGTGATTTGTGGGTAGCAATGCTCCTTGCATCAAACCTGTTATCACAGAGTGAATTCATAAGGCAGCAAGAGCAAACTCCAAGTACAAAAACCTGAACCTCTCCTACCTGGATTCCTTGAGCTCTCACTCAGGAGAATGGGTCTTATTTTATAAGAAATTCTTAGTCATCATAACACACTGGGCCCTCATAAATACAAGAAAAGTATGCAAAGATTCTAGATGAAAGGGAGGTGTAACTGAACAAAAAACTAAAACTGCAGGTGGTAATGAGACTATAGAAAAGTGTTCCTTTCAAGATGCAAAAAGATTCTAAATAATGGGGCTATTTGCACAGTCTCTTACCATGAACCTCAGTTCAGAAAGAACCCTACAACCAAAGCAATTTCAGGGACCATTCATGCAGGTTTCTGGAGTTTAGAAACCAGTAGCATCTCAACTGTTAACCAATTTCTTAAACTAATAAAAAGGTCTTACTGCTTCTATAGCTACACTCTAATTCCTTTGGGAGTCTTCACAGGATGATGGCCAAGTTTTTCTGAGAAAAGGGCCTAAATTGAAAAGAACACCACCAAGAAAAAGCCAGCCCTTCTACATTATCAAGTATCCAGCTCTCAGAGGGAGCCCCCTGCTGCTTTGTTATGGGAATTATGCACCATATACACAGTATGGGGTTAAAAAAAAAACAAACTACTAAAACGCCTAGTATCTACAATCTTTAAAGGGATGGCCTCCAAATCAATCATGAAAGAGGTAAATTTAGAGCTGGCTTATCCTCTTTGGTAGAATGAAAATTAGTGTGGTCAGAGCAGAGATGACTAGAGAAGGAAGGATAAACTGTTAACAGGTAAATGCTTAATGGTGTCCATATTGCTCGCTTATATATTTTATTATCCTACACAGGCAATTTTTTTTCCACCTACACTGGCTCTTTTATCATCTTAACAATATGACAAATTCAGCACACTGCACACTACGGTATTACATCAGAAGGCTAGATCCATAGTTTGTGCAAAGATGAGTAAAATATTCCATTTATGTGGCTAAAAATAAAATAAAATCTACCATGTTTCACAGTATACTCCTCATGCAAAAGTAGCAAAAGTGCTCCATCTCAATTAGGCAATCAACTATATTTTCAAGTATATAAATGAAATATAAATTCACTTCCCAAATCTGCTATTTGGATTTTTTAAAGCACTTATTATGATGAATCTTCTCATGTTTTAAAATATTGCAATCACTTTCCTTCTAGTAAATTAGCTCCATTTTACAGATATGATAACTGAGAAATCAAAGTGAATGCTTTCCAAGGACATGTTCAACATGGTGTCAACAAACCAGCACCTAGACCTGGCATTTTCTCATCCCTGCTCCTGAAGTTAGCATTCCTCATCAATATGGACTTTAAAAGAAGGACAAGAGAAATCCTTTGAATTCTGAGGTTCCTGGAATTAAGTCACTTCTGATTTTATTGATCTGCCTTGCCCAGCATGGCTAGAAAGCCTGCTTCAATATGAATGCAAAGTCGGACTTGCAGCCTGCTAGCTGAACCTTCTTTAATTTAAGAAACACTGACTTCTCTGGCAGTCACAAGTTCTCTGAGCCTTTTTACCATCCCTTCCAACTGAATTTCATTTTGCTTGAGTCTAGCTGGCCCTACATAAATCTTTTATTATATAAAAATGCTCCCTATTATTTTGCCTTCTAACTTGAAGAAGGAAAAAAGAGACCTATATGAAAATGATGAGGATGCATGCAAACAAGCAGTGGTTACATCAAGCTGTGACTGAGAGCCAGTATAGGGCAAATCTTTTGAAATCAGGCAGCAAAGCAGAATCAGAAGAGGTCGGCTGAATAACCTACTAGCAGTCACTAACAGCAGTACCATAGGAGAAAGAGCAATTTTACTGGCTGTGACCAGTGGTGGTCTCCTTGTGTGACTGTATCTGCAGGAGAATCCAAATCAAGAGCTGTAAAACACATCTGAAACATGTATTTCTATTGGCACACCCCCATCCCCATACACACTTGAAGTTCAGATGCCCAGATTCTGCTGCAAAGTATTAGTTTACAATAAAATGATTGTTGCTTCATTCATTTGCAGCCCCTACAAAGCCCCCTCTTTGCTCTGCTGGAAGATTTCGCTCTTTCTGAAATAAGCACGCCAACAGGGTTACAGCATATTACGGCTGCCTGCCGTATAATTAGCTACAAACCCACAGCACAAAACTACAGGGATTTACAGGTGCCCTGGATTCTGCTTTTCCTTCCCCCCTGGAATCAGCTAGTCTTCCTTGACAAGAAGGGACCTTGGGCTACCCTAATGATATATTGAGAGTTTTAAACTCAACTCTCCAATCTTACAAGTCTAGAGTGCCAAAATAACACAGCAGAGACTAGAGGCTGAGCCATGGATCCAGGAAAGCACTTTGGTAAGCACTTAAACCTGCTGAGAATCTTCTCTTCTGCCAGATGTTTGCATCTTATCAGCAGACTACCCTGAATCACAGAAGCAAACACTGTAGGACTTTATTTATTTATAGCTCATTCTGCCAAGCTAACTACAACCAAGTGTTCCCACTGCTTAAAAAAAATAAAAAATTGCTACAAGTTGGATGACTTTTGAGTATCTTAGTACTATCCAAAGAAGGGTCTAATCTCTGGATGTCAAAGATTATCAGAATTCTCAAGAATGGCAGCAGGCTGCTGATTAGTCATGTGAAAGGCTTCTGATTTCTAACCTTCCTCACAAATGAAAAGAAGGTCCAGAGGCCATCCACCGACAGCTGAACATTGAAAATGCCAGGCAGCCTAAATCCAGCCATGACCAAAATATATGTTATCAGGGGAGAACACAGCCAACCTCTTCTGGATAAAAGGCAAGAGAAAAGGAAAGTACTTGAATTAAAACATAAAACAGAAGGCCAAATTCACAAGGAGCAAATAGCAAAGAAGGTACAATGCAATCCAACATAACCAAAGTGTGGATTTCCATCTAAGAAGTGGAAATGAACACCAATAGATCCTTATCCATTATATATGTAGAGAAATATACAACAACGTATTCTTCCCATCTCCTGCATCAATTTTGATGTTCCTTATTTGAATCATACATTCAAAATTTTTTTTAAATAACCCATGTTTGTTAGTTTGTGTTACACATAAAAATCATTTGGAGTATTAAATTTTTTACTCCCAGACTCTCAAAATACACAGAGCCATATGCATAGCCACAGTGTTTATGGGGCAATTTACCTTACATGTTTGTATAAAACAGCTATATTTTAGAGTACTAAATTCATAGGACGACTGAAATACTTATTTGTTTCCAGATTATTCTGAGGCATTTAATATGCCCAAAGCTAAGTGAAATCCTGAATGTCAAATGATTCAGTAAATTGTCAAAAACAAAGGCATTCAGGATGCTGCCTCAGTGTAACAAGCTTTTGCCTTTCTAGCATCAGTGAGTAATACTAGGGGGAAAAAGACACAACACACTCTGGGCTCTAAACCCTGAGACTCACTATTAAAAGAAAGAGAAAAGGGAATGTTGAATCATATAATCTAACCTTCAGGATTAATCCATAAAAAACTAGCTGAACTCACTAAAGAGCTGGGCTTATGGAATCTTAGACAAGAGAATTAGGTCCTAGAAGTAGACAAGCTGTCCTGAATGTTCCTGCACCAAGAAAATGACTGAAGAAACTCACATGTTTAAAGAACAACTGCTAACTGGCTATAAGTCATCTTAAGAAAAAAAAAAAAAATCCTCTCC